GACGCCATAGCACTCTACCGAGGGCGACACAATGAGACTCTGTCTCCAAAAAAAAAAAGTCTTCTTTTCATACTTAGGTTTCTAAGCTAATAAGCCAGATGTCACTATCCTCTTAATCCTGTATGTTCTAGGCACAGGCCTATAACTAATACTAAAATGTCAATTTGCAGGTAGTAAATTACAAATCATAAATGGTGACTCTTCCAAGAAATCTTCCATGATCCATTCAGCAGTTGGTCACTCCTTTGACCTTGCCTTCTTAAGAGAGCTCATCACATAATAATTATTTACCATATTCTTTCATAACCTCAATAGACTGTAACTGAGGATAAAGACCTTATTTCTTAATTCATCTTATTACAACACAAGGCACATAGCAGGCACCCAAAGGTTTGTTGAGTAAAACAATCTATATTCAAACCTAACAGTTTCCTAAAAGCTTTGCATTAAATTAACTAAACACACAAAATGCACATATAGAAATGATTTGATAACTTTCAACTATTAATAGATAACTTTTGCAACATGTTAAGAAGGAATATGTTAAGATAAATTATAAGATAAGTTATAGATAACTTTCAACTATTAATAACAGATTGGTTCTTTTCCTTTTTTTAAACTTAAGTTTGACATAGTTTGACTATGTCCTTTGGGGGATGGTGACAGAGTATTATAACTAATGATGAAATCCAAACACTTAACAAAAAAACATTCAGGCCTTCATACCACTTTATAGAGTGACTTTCACAGTTTCATCCCAGAATAGTTCAAAATAGACCTCAGAGCTCTAAAGTATGACCTACCTTAAAAGACTCCATATCTGAGAGCAGACAGGCACTCTGCATGCGTGCTCGAAGGTGAGCCCCTTCTGCTGATGTACCTAATTTAGCTAAAACCTCAGACTGCTCTTCTAGCAGATCTTCTGTCATGGGTGCTGGTTCCTATAAAGCACAAAAGGACAAAGCTCACGAATATCCCTTTTTACACAAAGCAGAACTATAAAAATAGAACAAAGAAACAAATTATTTCAGCTCTACCAGTCACAAGATATATATTTTTTAAAAATTGAGCGAAATACACAAGTTTTTTGGAACATACATTTAAAAAGTAACAACTTAAGAAGAATACATATGGCTTTCAGCCTTCTTCCCCCTCACAGATAAGATTACATTTCCCTTCACAAGGATTGATGATAAAAGATAGAGAAATTTGGGTCCACTGAACTACATTTTCTTACCTGTGAATAATAAATAAATGAAGTCCTAATGATATTTTTATAAATGCCATCACTAGTTGCACCAAAGTTTTTATTGTAATAGAAATGGTTTGTTACAGAAAAAATGGGAAGGGACTGCTGTAACAATGATCATTCCAGGTTATAGAATTCTGAGTTTTTGTTTTCTCTACAACAAACATACACTACTTTTCACTATTTTATCCAATAGTACCAAGCAAAAGTCTCACACTGATACTTTCTTTTTTTTTCTTTTTTTTTTGAGACAGAGCCTCAAGCTGTCACCCTGGATAGGGTGCTGTGGCATCACAGCTCACAGCAACTTCCAACTCCTGAGCTCAAGTGAGTCTCCTGCCTCAGCCTCCGAAGTAGCTGGGACCACAGGCACCCGCCACAACGCCCAGCTATTTTTTTGGTTGAAGCTGTCATTGTTTGGTGGGCTCAGGCTGGATT